AGGACTTTCTGGGCTATGGAGGACTTTCAGTTTTGAAGCAAACAACAAATAAGACATCTATAGTTCCTGATTGTCCTCTGTTGCAGAGTTGGGCTGATTTCAGGTTATGGGTGTTCATCCAGGAGCATGTGGTAGTTCTAAGAAATAAGGTGACAAGTAAATGACTATAATTTCAATGTGTGCATCACATGCAATGTGAGGAACACAGTGCTGTCTAAGTTAGATCTAAGTAAGGTAATCTCAGTTTGTGCTCTGGTCTTGGAACTGTCTAAACATTAAATGCAATACAGCATAGCACAGACAAGGGTATCTGTTGAACTAGATGCAATGTGTGGCATAAAATGGGAAGCTTCAAAAGATAAGTAGTTCTTCTTTTCAGTGTTAGCATACATTACAAAGTAAAACTTCTTCTAGAGGACGTTCTTAGATAATCCACTTCTGTAATGGATAAAGGGGGAAAAGAGTGAGGGAGATCTGCCAAAAGAGATGCTGCTTTCCCTTCCAATTATGAATATTATGTAAATTAGCAGTTCATTTCTGTAATTTCAGGAGCCCTTAGGACTGTACAAGTAGAGTCCAAAAAGCATGCGACATCACAGCAACAGAATGGATTAATGAGATTTGTATATTGAGGTTTCTGCAGGTTTGATTTCAGTAAGTGGGAAGATGTACTTTGTTTTTTACTACCTACTTTTTATTTATTTTACTACCTACTTTTATTTCCTTCAAATGTTGGTAGGCATACTAGCACTTAGTCCCACTGAGGTCATGGGATTACTCAGAATTTGAAGTGATCATGTTGGTGCTACTGGGAACCTGCTTTTAATGTTTAAATGCCATATGCAGGTGGTGGTTATCTTACCCATGTATAGTGCCAAGCACAGGAGCTTTTTGTAGATGTCCACCTGATCAATAGCTAAGTGCCTCTGAAGTCACTGGAATAGTAGCTGGAGGCCTATTTAAGACATGGAGAGGGGATGAGGGGATTGCTAATTGGAAGATCCTCAGTAGCCACAGAGATTTGGGTAGTCTTTCTTGACATGTGTCAGGTTATATACACTTATATATGACAGTTGTGATTTAGTCTGTAGTGAAAAGCATACTTGTGATGACAGCATAATATAGAATGATGTAATGGAGCATAGGCAGCACAAGTCCAATCAGAGGTTTATAAGTGTACTGTTAGAAAAACTAAATGGAGAGCATATGCTTTTCTGAACATGTGTTTCTTTCGTATAAAAATGAGGAAAACCATTTCTGTATCTCTTGTTTGAAATTGCTCATCACGTTACCTGACAGAAGTTGTCTGAGGCTGCCTTAGTTAGAGTATGTGTTGTGCTTAAGGGACTGGGTTTGAATAATATAGTGATGCTAGATCTTTTTGGTCGTCGTAGGAACCAAGGAGACCTAAGGACACATTTTAATATTTTAGTGCCCTCTTAAGGCTTTCATTGGGAACAATCCCATTATTTTGAATACTCTCACAGTGCAGCAGGTTGCCAAGGCTGTCAGTGAGAGTTAAGATTGCAGTTATTGTTTCTAATAATGAGAACTTGAAAGATGACAGATGGATATGAGTTTCACCAAGTCTTTGTACATTTTTGGATCATGTTCACTTATTTTAGTTAGTATCCTAATAATGTCTGCACATACTGTATGTTGAGCATGTCAGCAAAGAGTGTTGCCTTTCAGATACCAAACTTAGTTGAGTGTTTTAGCATATGGAAGAAGTGCCCATGTGCAATGGTGAAGGGCTTTGCCTATGGGAACTTCAGAGCCTTCTTATATGATAAAACCAATATTCCTGAGCAGAGATGTTGAAGCTTCTATTTGTTAGCCATGATATTTGGACCCTCCCTTGAACCATTTCATGATATTGCCTTTATTCATATTTGGTCTTGAACTGTTTTCAAATGGTGGGGGGAGGAGGCATGAAACGTTGACTGTGACTGAGGGATTTTTTCATTTCTGGAAACCATTTGTTTTTGGTTTGATTGAGGAGCTCTGTAATTAATGTTACATATTATTGATTGATATCCATATAAATCTATAAGAAGAGTCATTGAAAAAGCACATACCAGTAGGTGCAGAAAATAAATAAATGTAGTAAATACCTTCTCTTTGTTTGTAGAAGATGGCCTGTATATGCTGCAGTGCATTTTCTTGTATCTGTATACAATTCATAAGCTCAACTCACATTGTACCACCATGTGCCAATATGATTGATAATACTTTAAAAAATGAGATAAATTAGTTTACCTGCCATGTCAGCACTGCCTTGTTATTTTAACTATCTTCTGGATATTTCTTTTTCAAATACTGAAACCTACAGAACTCAAATAATATGAATTGTGTAAGTTTCCTACCACCTTTTAGCCTTGAGAAGTAGGAGAACATTGAGAAGTGTGATGTATCCATCTCTGCTTACTAATGAGTAATTTTTCAAGAAAATGGGAAACGGCAGTATATTGTTTTCTAGAAAAGGTAAACATCAGCTGTAATTCACAATGTGTTTAAAACAATTATTCTTTATCATTAAAGTTAATAATATGCACATTAAACTGCAGTTTCATAGATGCGATACCTGGACATCTTTGTCTAAATATTGATTTCATTGTCATTTGTATAAGGTATGAAACAAATTATGTGCCTCCTAATATCATTAAATAACCCCATTAATTTAGCTACTCAATTTATGGCTTCTTATAATGCATGAAAAACTAATATGGAGTTATGGAAGACATTATGAAATACAGATGCTTAGTGTCCTAGATTTGATTGTGGAAGGCCAGTGCTAACATTCAATACCTTTCAAACACTTTACTGCCCAGAGAAAGTCTAGAGACAAGAGCAAGCCATGCTGTAGTATGCAACTCAGTTGTTAATTTTCAGCAGAGTTCCCTTGGGTCCAGGGAGCAGCAGTTTGTTGTTCGACTTTCTACTTACGTATTTGTAGCCTTATGTGAAAATTTTGTGTACACACTTGTATTCTGTGCCAAAGGCAAAAGTTACTCCTTTTACTTACTGAAGAAAATAAAAATAGGTAAGAAAGACAGTGTCTCTCTGTTTTGGACAGCACTTATACAGTTGTCATTACTATCATAATTTGAAATATGAGTTAAATAATTTAGTCCACATTGTGATTTCTTCCCTTTATTGCCTCTTTATTGCAACTGTCTTCCCGCTATGCCCTTCATGTTTTCATTACTGCTCTTTACATCATAGCCGTTCCTCAGGTTTACCTCACAACACCTTCTTACCCTTCCAGGAAATTTCAGGAGTGCCCTGAAACCCTGGAAATACCAATCTTGCTGCCTTTTACTTCCTCCCTCTTCGGAGAGTTCCTTTTTAAACAGCCAGGCTGTTGTTAAGCATCAGATTCAGTTGTCTACTTTTCTTCTTATCCTTTTGTCCTAGTTTCAGCCAAGGATGGGGGGGCAGGGGCAGAGCCTGGAGCCATGCAGGCCCGTATAGTTATTATTCTATACCATGCACATTGTTGCCAAGGCGGGGAAGTAGAAGTCAGGGATTCCCACTTCCCAGAAGAAAGGGTGTGGCTTTGGGTGTGGGAAAAAGGGGGTGCATGGATGTTCCACGGCCATTTTTTCCTTTCTCAGGGGAGCAGACAGCAAGTGGAGTGGTGGGGTGGTGCTGGTCCCAACGGCAGGGATTGTCTGCATTGTGATTGTTTCATTGTCCTGGGTTTGGGGGAAAAAACACAGGCACAAATGGTTTGTCTGCCATTGTTTTTCATTATCTTGGGCTTGGGAAAAAAAAAGTGGTGGAGGGAGCATCAGATGGTGAGCATTTTGCATATAATCACTCTTCTATTCACTATTGTTATTAGTATTGTTGCTGTTACTGTTCGTTTTCTTATCTCATTGCTGTTTCCAGTAAATTGTTATCTAAACCCGTAATCTTTGTGTTTTGTCTCTCTCACCTGAGGCAGTGGGGGGAAGGGAACAGCTGCATGGAGCCTGATTTCCGTCTGGGCTTAAACCATGGCACCTTTCTAAATACAAACCTTGAAAAAACTTAGTGTAAGTTTCCTGTTTTACCAGGAAACTTGTAGTCAGGATGATTTTTCCTGCTCTCTGCTCAGTATCTAAGCACTGCTCACCTGCAGTCTTTTGCTATAAGCTGCTTATTTCACATTTAAGCACACACACACAAGCACACTTGCTTTCCTGATTTTTTTTCTATAGATGAAAAAAAAGATAAACCTCCGTAACCATTTCCATTATCCTGCTTCCATTATCACTTATTACATTTTCAAGGCAGCATCTTCATACTTTGTCTTCTGGTGGTGGTCATGCTGAGGGACCTTTTTGTAAATATATGCAAAGCTACTTCATTGTTCTTTAATGTATACATTAGTCTCAACCATGTTTGACCTTCTGCTGTGCTGAGACTACAGCCTATCATTCCAGCTGATATAATTGCATTGTTTATTTGTACTTGCCCACTTTCTCTGGTGTTAAGCTTTTATATGAGACTGTCTTAAAGACTCCTTGATTTTGGGGAGAGGATTTGTATAATGTGAAAGAAGTAATTTTTTGATAACTCTGATTGGTGCTGTGTTATTACAAATAATATGAAATAATACATTTCTTTCATATCAAAATGCTCTGTGTTATCATTACAGTCAGTGGAGTATGGGCACCATTAAAGTAAAGTTCTCTCAGCTGTCTCAGAAGGGTGCTTGGCATCTTTTAGGAACATGCTGTTTTTTATCAGAAAAATCTGTATAGTGATTTTTTAAATTTTTTTTTAAGACAAAAATCTGTTCTTTTAGCAAAGAATGTTAATAGATTAAGGAGATGAGGGCCTCTTGAATATCTTGAATATCCAGACCATAGGACTTCCTTGAATTAATTCTTAAGAGAATTACAGTACAACTTTGGAGAAGGAAAAAAAAAAGCCAAACTAGTTTTTATTTAAACTTTGCTCATCATGTGTTTTCTTAGTTCATAATTTTTGTTCCAAATTTTCTCTTATAGGTAAAAGTGACCCATTTTGTGTAGTTGAATTGAACAATGACAGATTGCTGACACATACCATCTACAAGAACCTCAATCCAGAATGGAACAAAATCTTCACATTGTAGGTGTTTGGATTTGTGGGGCGAGGGGTGTGCAGTGGGTGTTTGAATTGGGAAAGAGGACAGTGGGTTTTGGGTGGATTTTTTTAGAGGGGAGGGCGTTGAAGAGAATACCTACTAGTGGTTCTGAAGAAGAATAGTGACAACATACTGATATTTCTAAACTAAACATCTGAATACTTTTTTGAAGATTAAAAACATGAAAAAAAATTAGAGCAGTGGTATCATTTTAAAGGTTAAAAAGCCAGATCTGTTTCTTGGAAACCAGCTATATGTAGTGCTAAGCACTCCAGACTCCTGCTAGGTTCAGTGAGAGTTTCAAGGACCAAATCCGGTGTGATGGGTTTGCCCCTGAAGTTCTGAGACGGAAAAAAAGATACTGTGGTTATGACCTTCATTAAAATGGGATTGTTAACTTTAAAAAACATTAGTCAGTTGTATAAAGTTAGAAATTCTAAAAGTCTCTGAATTAAGATCAAATACTTTCCACTTCTTTTCATTTAACAACTGCACTTCTCACAATACTCTCTAGTATAGTACTAGTACAATGCAGCTGTTGGGTAAAATGCAGTCTAAAATATTTAGTTTGTCATGAAGTGATGCTATTGGGGTTTTATCCTTCTGTTACTTTGAACACAGTAAAAGGCTTTGGCAAAGTAGAAAAAAAGTCTTCCACAAACAAAATGTCTTTGTTATTTGTCTTGCTCAGTTGCCTTCTTTTTCTCCCTTCTTCTCTCTATCTGACTGCAATGTGACACCAATGAGTAGAAAAAACCTGATCATTCCAGGTCGCGCTGCTGCTGAAATCAGCTAACAATCCTCTGCAAAACCAGTAGAAGCTTTAGCTTTGTGTACACTTACTTCACTTTATCATAAATGAAAATGCTATATTTTGCCCTTGATCTTAAAATTCAGTGTGAATTTAACTTTTTTCCCCTCTGAATTTGTCAGTCATATATTTGGCATCCATAGGTTTTTTTGACCTGCAATGAGTTCTCAAGAATGAATTCAGAACAAAAAAAAAAAAATCTCAATAGTTGTACTTTTCAACAGCTTATTATTGTTGTTCTCATTTCTGTATCTGCAAAACCATGTTAAATTCTTCATTAATTTATTTTTAATTATATACTAATAGAGCCAATAACTAATCATCCTCTAATGCTCAGCAGTGTTCTCTGCTCAAGGAATTGCCTGGATTTATAGAGGACAAAAGACTAATCAGGAATCAATTAGAAAACCTCTGAAGGCCTTTAAGGCCTTTTTTCTGTGTGTAGTTGCGTTGAATATTATATTTATCCTCAGATTTGTTAATTAATTTTTGGGCTAGCAATCCCTCATCTGGAGGCTTAGATTTTACTGCAGTTAAACTGCTTTGCTTGAATTTGTGTTTGCTGGTTCAGCCATTCGATCAAAAATGAGTTCTCTCAAATAATTCTTTTTCTCCAAATAAGGAATATAAATGTTTCACTCAAGAGTTTACAATGTACAGTAACGTTCTAGTGCATGGCAGTGGAGTGTTTAATAGCTTGCAGGCTTTTTTGCCTCAGTAGTAGCTGAGAAATGAATTGTTTCCTACTGTTGGTTCTTTATTTGTTGTAATGACTGTTGTATATTTGTAATTAAGCAAGGATTTCAGAAATAAAGAGCTTGTTTTCAGTGCAAGGATATGCTCCTGTATCTTGTAATTGTTTCCATTTACAAAGCCACAGATTTCACAGTATTTGCAGTAAGAATCGCAGCAATGGCAGCAGTGTTTAAGGGATAGCCTTTAAAAGCTCTCAGTCCTGCTGCTGGGGGCTGTAAATCCCCCAGTGCTGGTCCTTGCAGGTCATGCGGTGCAAACCCTAGGTAGGAGATTTAAAGCAAACCTCAGCTGGGAAAGCCTTACAGAGAGAGAGAGAGAGAGCGCAATCATTTCAGCTCTTAGAACACATTTGGGTTATACACAGGGAGGCCTCATTTACTTAAGTTCTGTTCTCCTCCATGGCTTGGAAAAATAGATGGGTATCTGTTTGTGCTAACCTTTCGCACTTTTGTCCTTAGTACTTGCTGGTGTAAGTCACTTCCTCTCTCCACTGTGTGTACTACTTCCTTTGTAGTAATATAAAAGACATCCACTCGGTGCTTGAAGTGACAGTTTACGATGAAGACCGCGATCGAAGTGCTGACTTTCTAGGCAAAGTTGCTATACCACTGCTGTCTGTAAGTTTCATTCACCTGACATACCACTGAATTTTGTCTGCTGAAGCGGGGGAGGAAGAAAAAAAAATAAATTTGCAGCTCTGTATCTGTCATTTCTCAACCAAGGTCTGTAATAAGAACACTAAAATTTTAACATACTCTATTCACGGCCATGTTGAATCCCATGATAGTTAATTTTTCCTGACAGACTTGGTCCTGGTAATGAACAGGTACTTGTCAGACTTGCCACAGTTGTTTTGGGTTCTGTGTCAGTTTCAGCAGCTGGGGGTCAGGGGTCACTGGGGGGGTGTATTCAGTGGAGACTGCGAGACAGACGGCTGTCATGTCCTTTTCCTGCAGATTCAAAATGGTGAACAGAAAGCCTACGTCTTGAAAAACAAGCAGCTGACAGGGCCAACAAAGGGGGTCATCTATCTTGAAATAGATGTGATTTTTAATGCTGTAAGTCTTAACTTTGGCTTTTTTGTACTGCTAAAGAGTTCAGTTTCATGAGAGCTTTTGTTCCTGATTTGTAGAGAATTTCTGTCATTCCTCATTTTCTCTAAACCTTGATGTATACTACAGAATACTCTTCTGCCAATGCCTGGCACACCCACTCTTTTTGTTGCTGCTGCTGCTGCTAATGTAGGGAGCAGCAACTCTTGTCTCTGTGTAAACTTATGTGTTGCGGTTTGGCAGCAGTGACTTTGAAATGTTGTAATTTTTGCAAATTAAAGTATGTGTTATTAGTAAGGAGCACGTAAATTTGAAATACTGACTCACATTTTAATGCATAGGTGAAAGCCAGCATAAGAACCTTAATGCCTAAAGAACAGAAGTATATTGAAGAGGAAGACAGACTGTCTAAACAGGTAAAGAGTAAGGAAACACTAATCTGTTCCAAAATCCGTAATATCAAGTGTGCACGTCCAAATATCTGGCATCATACTACTGAGAGAAAAGAATAACATTTTCATTATATATTTACAAAAGAATATGATAGGTTGGAGAAGGCAGAAACAGAATACATGGGTTTATTGTGTCTCCTCTATAAATTGTGGCTTAATTTCCATGAAATACATGAATAAGAACACAGTTGAAACCAGCAGGTTCCACACATATCAGATTATCGCCCAGGTGCATGTAAACTAAGTCTTGCATAAATTTTTGCTGTTAACTTTGACCTGAAAGTTCTCCATTTGTTGCAGGGTAAAGAGTCTTTCAGCATTATTTTAGCCAAATTTTAAATAAGTTAGTTGAATACGGTTTGAATGAAAGGTGAAAGCAGACTAAAACACTTTATACTACAGAGAGTCCTGGGGATAGGAAGTGTCTGGACTCTTTCCTCTGGATATTTTTGCTACATACAATTTTAACATTTTGGTAAAGAATATTTAAACACGCATGTTTTTCTCCAGTTGAACTACTTTTGATTCAGCTTTCCTGTTCCACAAATGATGTATTTTATATGGAGAGAGCTGGGCTTTCAGTTGGGCTGTGGGGACAAGATTTTTGTTGTTTTCAGTGAAAAAGAAAAGGTCTCAGAACTGACTTTTACTTTGATGAAAACGTATAGACTTGAGCATAGTTTAAGTTACGTGCTGGATGAGTTTTACATCAGGTTTTTATATAGTTCATAAAAAACATTTCAAGAGGCAAAATATTTTTCTTTACTGTTGAGAATAATGTAATTGCCAGAGCTACAGTTCGCTCTCCTTTCCCAGCAAAGAAGCAATAAGACCTTTTGCTCAACATTAATACTTCCCACTTTCATAACAGAAAATAGTATTGTGACTTTTGCAGATGGCAGGAGGAGTGATCATTTTCTATGCAAATCAGTACACAAATAATTCATTGGTTTGTTTTTTGTTTTTGTTTGTTTGGGGTTTTTTGTTTGGTTTTGGTTTAGTTTGGTTTGGGTTTTTTTGGGGTGAGGGTGAAGTAATTTTGGAGGATTTAAGTACATTTCCTGAATCAAAACCTAGAGCTGTTATGTCTTGTAGTTTGGAAGAATGCAGTTAAAGTTAGTTTGGTAGATACTTAAACCCAGTTTTTCAAAATACCTGAGAGCAGACAAATTTGTTACAAATGTTAAAGGGTACAGATGATCTTAATTAGATTAGAGCAGTAATTTTGCATGGTTTTGGGTTAGTGTGCTGCAACACCTTTATATTAAGAGAGACCAACATTTGTTAAGAAAGGCTTAATAAAACTGAAATTTAATAAACAAAATAATTTATGAAAATTTGCAAGTGGCTTTTTAATGTTGGACAATTTGTGTACCATCTAAAATGAAATTCAGCAAATACCAATTCACACAACTAACAAATTCTCTCTCTTCCAAGCCAGAGAATTTAAACTAACTTACTCAATTTGTGAACTAGAGAGCTTGTTATTTTCTCTGTCTTCACCTTAATTAAGAAATTAAGAATGAAATTATTGTAAGCATGAGCCTTTTCTGAAACTTTTTGGGGTTTTGAAATATTTTTATTCTTTCATGTTTTTAACAGCTACTATTAAGGAACTTTATCCGGATGAAGCATTGTATCATGGCGCTCGTAACTGCCATCTGCTACATTAGCAGTTGCTTTGACTGGGATTCTCCCCCGAGAAGTCTAGCTGCTTTTTTGGTATGATCTTCTTTATACTGTTTTTAATCACCCCAGTGTGTTTGTGTTCTAGGCTGAGGGACAATACAGTGTAGATATGGAGGTTTTGGGGTTTTTTTAATTTATTTAAAACTTTGCATTATGATGATACTCTAAACAATGTTTATTCAGCTTTTTAGAAGAGTAACTAAGTTTAAATGTCACACAAAAAAGAGGTTTTTTTAAAAAGTCGTAATAAATATATATACACATATATTAATAGTATAAATATAATTGCTTATATAATTTATAAGTGAGTGATCCAAATCAAAATGGAGTAAATTATTGATAATATATCTCAAGCTTCTCACAAATTACTTCCATTAAATCTTCTTTGGTGCCTTCATATATTGCATATTTATTGCATACACTTTTTTTGAATGTGATTTATTTGCATATAATTGAGATAAAATTAGTGTTATTTTGTCCTCCATATATGTTACACCTATAGCTTTTTCAGGAGTACAAAATTACAAAAAGAATTACTCTGGACCCAAATATTTGCTTCTCGACTAAGAGGTAGTGTTCCTGAATTAAAAAAAAAACAAACCAACAAAACAAAACAAAAAACAAACCACCAAAATAAAACAGAACCAAGTTTAAAAGCACTAATACAAGCTTTTAGTACCTTTTAGACAGCAAGCTCTGGTCATAGTTCAGTTTTTAATGAATTCATTTTTAGTGATTTAAACAAAACTGCTATTTCTCAATTAATATTATCTTCATTAGTGTTAACCTTTTTTTTTCTGTTAAATTTTGAAAATTCCAAGCATTGGAATTGAATTGATTGAATTGTGTTTCACAGATAAATATCTTTCTATTTTCAAAATCATAACAGCTACAAACAAGTAGTCCCCATTTGTTGTTTCATGAGGGAGTCCCACTAGGAGTAAAAATGTATGCATGGACATACTTTCTGGAATATCTACGTTTATTAAGTTGGTTGAAATACTGAGATTATGAGTCTCTCCCCCATGAATATGAACAGAGAATGGTTTTCATCTAACTTTGAATAATTATAGAGGGACTGTGTGTTCCTGAAGGTCGGGTGCCTAAGATTTGGAGGAATCAAACAAGACATTGGAGCTGACTGTGCAGTAAAATGAAGTAGCTGTGTGTGTTGTTAAGTCATGATGTTTTGCTGGGAGTTTCTTCTAGCAGGGCTCCATTTGTACTGAGTTACTTGTTAAACCACCTTTTGCTTGTCGAGAATGGCAGAATGCTGTCGGCCCTTGGTTGTAGTGTTCATCAGAAGTGCAGGAGATCCATGTGCTGTTCTAAAAGTCAGGGGGTTTACACTTTTATTGATGTCTGTAACAATGACACTTATGTGCAGAGATCTAAATATACTTGCTGCTGTTTACTGTAGAACGGCGATCTGTCATTTCAGTTAAAAGTTATCAACATTTCATAGGAAAGGTTTCTACATAAAACTGTAATGTTCATATTGCTATTACTCTTCCAGTTAGTAAGTACTCATCTCCCTAAGTCTAATTTTAATACGAATATGGAACACTCACCGGATGGCAGTGGAAGAAGAGGAAATGGGGAAACATCCTGTTCTTTGAGGCAAATGAAATTATTTTTTGCCCATGGCGCACTGGTGTAGCCATGGAAGAAGTTGTGTTGCTGTTAAAATGTAATTGTTGCTGGTCATAGGAAAGAATTAGTATCATAATAGGTAGCTGGAAATACATAAAACGGGGAATTTAAGCAGGTGGATCTATAATCAGTATACATCATTATTGTAGTTACGCTGTATTGCAGTAGAAACATGTTCCTGATTTTATTTTTGTGTACATATATATTCATATTTTATATATCTCTCTCCATAAAGAGAGGGAGAGATCAAAAGTTTGATTTTCTTCGTTTCCTTGCAGTGTTTGTTTTGCTGTGTAGCGATTGTGGTAATTATGGATATATTATGTTTACATTTGTGCTGTGACTGCACAGATTTATTCCTGCTCTGCATCCAAAAGGGATCCTCTGCTTTTCAACCTGATGTTATTCACTCCAAGGATCTATCTGGCAAAAAAAGTTTTTGCTAGCCAAGTCAAATACATGTGAATTTCCGTCATGATTATAAGCTTTGTGTTTAGATTGTTTCTGGACTTTCACAAGCTCTTGAAATCTTGAGAGTGGTCCACTTGCGTGTGTAATGCTGAATTATACTTGCACTAAGGTTACATTTGAATGTAATAGAGTATATAAAATAAATGTACCTATGTGTATACTTTTCGTCTCTTCACTATTATACAAATTATGTCTCCTCTTGACACTGACTCACAGAGGTTAGAGAATGTCACAGTAAAATGTCATTGCCAGAAAGGAGATGAGAAATAGGCTATTCTGGAGGTTTCCAGCTCTTTAGGCAGACTAGTAAATAATGTACAAGATGTAGACTTTTAAGCTAACCATTTTTTCCATCCTGTTGGATTTGAAGGCATACCTTGATGGTTAACATCCTGATGCAGATTTACAGCCATTTCATGTAAGTTACATATGTGGGGGTTGATTTTTCATATCTCCCAATACCCCAAGTCCTTGGCATTACAGTTACAAGTACTTCTGTCTAGCACCTTACCCCTTGGCTTTACTTTCTCATGGGGGTATGCAGGACCACAGTTGAAGAAATTTTGGCAGACTAGATCAGTTTTCAGAAACGTACTTACTAAGATCAGTCTGGAAAAAAGAACTTTCTTGGAAACCTACAGAAAGGCTTGATTAATATGGTGACTCTGTAATAAGCTACTGTTACCTTCTTTATACACGTTCTGCACTCTTTACTACAGTTCGTTTTAAAGACATTCTCTTTGGAGAGTCACAGTGTTAGTCATCAAGACTAATAGTGTTCACTGAAGGGCCTTGCTGATAATTTGTATTCCAGAACTTAGCTGTCTCAAACCTTTACATTATTTGGGACATCTTAGATAAAGAAATGCTGTATTAAAGGTTTAGGATGATTCTTTCCAAAATCTGTCCAAAAGCACCAGCCCAATGACTTGTGTTGCCTGTGCTGTGCCTAGAGGTAGAGAAACTTAGAAGGTAAGTTTTCAATGTTCTAGATTATGCATTTCCTCAACTAAACAATATTTTACCTGTTCCTGTTAAACTTCATAAGCTCATCACCTTCACTGGGGATTTTGCCTGAATGACATAAGGTTTTCCCTTCAATTCTTTCTTCTGTGCTTCAGTAATTAACAGTAGAAGAAAAATTGCTACTAACACATAATATTTTAATGTTTTCATGTAACTGCGATGTATTACTAGGTCTTATTTTTCAAATATGCAAAGATATTAATAAATAGCTCATAAACTATAGGTTGATCTGGCTAGCATATGACTTTGGATTAGAACAATTAGAAAATTTTATATTCTTTCATGCTTTTTCATATTTATTTCCTTTTAAATAGAGGAGGTACATAGCGACAATGTTAAATTAACGTTTCAATTACAGAGCAGCTTTATTGTATCACATACAGTCCTGTTATGTCTAGCAGCTGATCAAGCATGTGTTACTTGTGTTTATGCTTCTGAAGCACCTAAATGCAATGGAAAAGAATAGAATATGTACAGGGAACCTTTGCCATAAATTCACATGTTTTTATGTGTTTAAAACAGGCCTTTAGAGTGTTTAGCAGTTAATTTTCTTATTTTAATTCAGTAATTAATATGGTACGTTTGAGGCAGAAGAACTTTATTAGGGTATGCAGAAGTGAGTGTTTTTTCTTCAGATTAATCCACTGTGGGCACTGAAATCTCTGTTAACTGGGCCTAATTTCCATCAGCTTCTTGACCAGAATTTCTGTTCTTGTAGATCACAAAAATAATTGGACAACTGAGCTATCAGTGAAAGGACATGCTTCAGTGTTAGTCAGGGAATTATTTTATGGGACGAACTTCAATCTTTAGTAGTGATTGTAGGTAATTTGTGCTACCATCTGTCCATTTGGAATTCTTCTAGCCTTTTCAGTCTTTATACAGTAAATACTGCTGCATTTAACATTAGTATTTGATACACATTTAATTTCTGTACTGCTACATGGTCCTTAGGGAGCTTTACTCTAGTGCTATGTGAGAGAGACAAAGTATTGATCAGTTAACATTTCAGCTACATTTATGTATGTTGCAAAATTAATGAAAATGCCAGACAAAAATGTCAGAGTACACAAAAATGTAGAATTTAAATTTGGCAGTTTAATGGAAAGTTTAAGATGTGCATTGTCAACAATGTCCCTTGCCTTTAAAGTAAAATTCACAACTGAGTAACTAAATGGAACCACATATTTTACTTAGAGGAACACTAAACATGAAATAAGGGGGAATATAATCCTCAAAGTATTTGGTATCCCAAAATGGCCTCAGTAAAGTGCTTTAATTGCCTGTTTGAACTTATAAGTGTTGCTCATAAAATAAATATTTTTCTTTTCTCACTTGGGAGCAGAGTACCCTCACCTAGTCACACCCATATGTCCTCAAATTAAAGCTTTCTATGAAGACATTCTCATATTCCTGTTGTATTCTTCTGATACTTTCTATACGTGTATATGCATGCACACAGAGAAGTCTCTTAGCCTTCCAAATATTGGTAAAATTACTTTCCCTACATCCAGGTAATTTGTCAGATCTAACTCACCTTGGCTTTGTCTTCTTTCAGACATTACAGAATTCATGTATGAAAATGACACAATAGCTTTTGATCAAGTGTTCGTTCTCTTGCACATACACCATTTAGTTGTGGAGGTGTCATGCTAATTAATTGAAAAGGAAACAGGATTGAAAAGAGCTGGCCCCTAGCAGGAAATGAGACTGTAAAATAGTTTTGTCAACTTGCTTAGCTTTTCCCAATTAAAAAGGGGAATGATCACTACTGCATATTTAGGAAGCAACATTCACTCAAAGCTGAAGGAAAAAGATTATGTTTCGGGAGAGACTTGATATGACACCATCAGGAGTTGGAATGATTTGTGCTAGTTATTACA